CCCTCCCTCTCTGCTATATAATTTCCTGGTCTTCGTCTTTGAGTCCCTGCCAAATGCAAGTGATGGTGGCCAACTGCCTCTTAAATTCTAAGTGACTTTTCCATGTTCTCATTTGGATGCTCTTCATTTATTTCCTCATCTCCAACAGTGGGCTGGACACAAACTGAACATACTCATGAAATCAACATGCAGATCAGGAGGTGACCAGCACCCCAAAGTCCAGTAGGCAGCTCTGTTCCTCTCATAGGTACCTATTCTACAGACTTCTAACACCAAAGATCAGTTTTGCTTATTTCTGTACTTTTCACATGAACAGAACCCTGCTCTTGTGTGTACAGATCCTGCTCAACATCATCAGAGGGAGACTTACCCATGTTGTTGTGTATAGCAATATTCTTAGTCATATACATTGCTGTATACTAGTATTCTATGGTGTGGCTTTATCACAGTTCTACTGGGGATAGACATTTGGCTTGTTTCCAGTTTAGGCTTTTGTGGATCAAGCAGTGGTTAGAAGCATTCTTACACACATCTTGGTGGACATATTGCATGCTCTTGTTCCTGCAGTAAGCACACCCTGGAGTAGCCTTGCTGGATCACAGATTAGGCCTATGATCAATTTTTTGTTTTTATTTTTTTGTACTGGGGATCAAACTCATGACTGTGCACTTGCAAGGCAGGTACTTACGCCGCTGAGCTAAATCTCCAGCCCCTCTGATTGGTTTTAATGGCCTCTGAGAGTTTTCCAACAGGATCACACTGATTATCATAATTCATGTGAACTTCTGTAGTAAAGTACTGTAGACTGGGGAAGTTATAAACAGAAATTTATTTCTTGTGCCAGACATGGTAGTACACCATTGTAACCCCAACTACTCCAAAGACTGAGACAGAAAGGATCACAAGTTTGAACCCATTCTGGGCAACTTCATGAGATGCTGTCCCCAAATTAAAAGGGCTGATGATATAGCTCAGATTAGAGTACTTGCCCAGCATACAGGAGGCCCTGGGATTGATCTCCAGCACAACAAAAAAAGAAAACAGAACCATAGTTTTCATAGTTCTGGAGGCTGAGAAGTCCAGGATCAAAGGAGCAGCTGGTTCTCTGCTTCAAAATGTGATCAAAATATGTACACTGTAAATGTTTAAATTTTAAAATGCATTACAGTAAAGACACTTTGCCATTAACCTTATTGCTTCATGTACACTTATCACACCGATCATGCCATATTCTGAGACAGTTCTGGAAGTCCTCTTCCCAAGGGTCTGTAGTGAGGGCTCCGCCCTCATGACCTAGTCACCCCCCAAAGCCCCACCTTTTAATACCACCACCTTGGAGTTAGGTTTCAACATAGGGATTCTGGGAGATACATAAACTCAGACTGCTCACCTTCCTCCAAAATTATACTTGTTGGTTGCTTCATATTTTCATCAACATCTGAGCTTATTCCCTATAGGATCTAAATTATGTGCCAACTCCATATTAATACTTATTATAATTGTTAATGGTGCATAATTCATCAAAATACCACTCGTCCTTCCTTCTTCCTGCCTGTCCCCCAATTTAGGGGCATTTGGTTAGGCTGCTGCTCACCATTGTGTTGGAGACAGCCACTGGTGGGACAGGGCTCTTAGAACTGGGTCTTTGCTTTATTATTCTGTCACCAAGACCTGTTTCAATGTTTGGCACACAATGGATACAAAAGAAAATTTTGCTGTATAATTATATGAAAGAATGACTTGAAAGCCTGTTTCCCTACACCACATATTGCGGTCATCCGCATCCGCTTGAGGGCGTCTGTACTGGCTTTCTCATCTTTGACCTTGGACTGGTGTTCTGGGCTTGCAGCCACTGCCTCACCTCAATTAGCCTCCGAGCTTTGAGCCTGGGTGCACATGATAATTATAACACCATCTAATATTATGACACCCCTGAGACTATATTAATTATGGAGGGTTATACTGTTACAGCAGGTGACAGGTCCTACCGTGCTAGACAGGGATGAGTTGAAATGAAAATTTCATTTTAAATGGGCTCCCTGAGTGCAGACGCTCAGTCAATTGTGGTTCGTGAACATAAAAAGCAGCCAGCCCTGGGGACCAGGGGTCATTGTCCTTCCTCTCCTATCTTGCAAACAAGTGTAAATTAGGTTCATAATGATATGTCTCATAGAATACTTTTGACAATTAAATGAGCTAATATATATTAAACACTTGGTACCCTGCCTGGCACATAGTATGGTGTAAGTGCTGCTCTTTATTATTATTGGGATTTGTTGTTGTTGCTTTTGTGGTGTTTTGGGGTATTTTGTTTTAGTTTTTTGAAATGGTCTCACCATGTAACCTAGACTTGCCTCAAACTCACTATGTATCCCATACTGACCTCGAACTCAAGATGATCCCTCTGCCTCAGCCTCCCAAATGCTAGGCTATAAGTGTGCATCACCACTCCCAGGTAATATCACTGTTTTTGTTGCTGGCAGAAGCAACAGACTGAGGAACGGATGGACTGTGCAGCGTTGAAAGCGAAAAAAGGAGAAGGGGAGCACAGGCGAGCACGTGGCTGTCCTCCACGAAGAGGCAGAAGTGCCACCAAGAACCCAGCGGTCAAGGCTGGGGTGGGAGGTCACAGTAACCAGCACGTATTGTGCACAGTGTGGAACTTCAAGGCCTAAATGAGTCCAATCCTAGGAGCCACAAGGAGGAAACATACTGCAGCGTGCCAACCTTTCCCAGCACGGGAGCTTCTGCCTGCTGCAAGAGCTGCCAGGGCTGCAGGAAGCCCTGATGCAATGGATTGCACCCATCTTGGGTTGTTATCTCTGGGATAGGAGCAATAGCAAGTATCCCCAAGGTGCTGAACAAGGTAGGAACCCATGCAGTTCCCTTTTCTTAAGGTGAAATGTCCCCAAAATGTAATATGTTGAAGGCTTGGTCACCAAGGCAGCCACGCTCAGAAGTGGAGCCTTACGAGATGATTTGATCAAGAGGGCCGGGATGTATTGATGAATTACTCTGTCGCTGGATTTATAGCTAAGTGGCACATGGAGAGAGGTGGTGGAAGGAGGTTGTGGAAGCTTCATGAGGTAGGGCCCAGAAGGAGGTTGCTAGGATTGCATGGCCTTTCTGTCTTCCTCCCTCCCTCCATTTGGCCTCATCACCGGCCTAAAAGCAATGGACCAAAACCGTGAGCCATGATACATCTTTCCTCTTCCCAGCTGACTTCAAGTATTTTGTTACAGCCACCAAAAGCTAGTGTCAGTTTAAGGAGAGGGATATCACTCACAGAGGCCAAGCAACCAAGAGTAGCTGCCTTGCTGTTATTCACTGTGGCCTTGAGAGAAGACAGAGGCGTTAGGCACAAACTCCTCCCAACTCACGTCTGCCCTTTGGCTTTCTGAACCCTCCACATTCTGACCTCTACCAAGAACCTGTATAGGAAAAAGCAACAGCAGGCAAGGACAAACACGGATGGGGAGGATTCCTGAAGCTAGATGACAGATACATGACTGTTCTAGTCCACGTTTACATTTGAAAGCTGTCTGTAATACATGGTTTCTTAAAGGTATTGACTCAAGGGCTGGCAGAGTAAAGGTTTGACTAAGAAGCTCCCTAAATCCATGGACAACCACCAAGGGCTAGGAGGTGAAGGAATAGCATGCTGGCTTCAGTTGATCAAAGCAGAGTCCACAGCTGCTTCCCAGTGAGCAAAAGCAGCCAGCTTTTCCTTAGGGAAATGCTTCCGCTAGAGAAAGAAGGTGGACTGGCTCAGGGGGCACTGCCCCTCCCCAAGCGTGCTTACTCAAGGCCCAGGCATGCGTGGCCTGGAGCTCTGCAGGGAGAGGCGCCCTCTCTCTTGAGTTCTAGCCTCGGCCACCCCAGCCATGGCTATGAGGGTGCTCTGCCTGATTCCCTCCTGTGCCAACCCTTCCCCAGGTGAAAGCCAGGTCATACCCCTGGCTAGGTCATACCCCTGCTTGAAGGTGGCATTTGAGAGGCTTTTCAGTTGGTAAAAGCTGAGATGGGGCTGCCGTTAAGCACAGGGCAGTCAAGGCTTCTTGGTGGCACAATTTGTAAATGCTGGGAGGCCCCTCAACACCGACTATATCCCCCCAAGGTATTGCCCTGGGGGGTTGCTCACTATGATGGAAATCCCACCATTTGGGAGATATTCTTTGGGGCTGCTTATTGGCTTCTTGGGGTATATTTTTTCCAAGTGTATCTACCTGGTAGGATAGTGCAGTAGCACTGGCACCCATGCACGCATTGCTCACTGATATGGCTGGCACGGTACCTGGAAGGGGAAAAGAAGCTCAAGGGCTGGTTAAGAGCAAGGATGATGGGGAGTGGCACAGACAGCATGAGAACAGACTGCTCTTGGGCTCAGGGTATACAAGTACAGGTCATTAGGCCCCTGACGTCCCTCAGGGCAGTGCAGGGAAAAGCTGCCTGCAGCCCACTCCTGATGTCACCAAGGGCTTTAGTTCTTACCCTTGCAGAGCCCAGAGGTAGAGTTAGAAGTAGAGTTCCTGTGCCTACCCCATCTAGCAAAGGCCACCTAAAAAGGACCCATGAGGCCAATCCTATTGTCCCAATGCATCTCTGATATAAGTGTAGCTAGTCATCCCACGCTTGGAGGTGAAGGGAACATCCCCCCGACTATTCTTTACTGCTGCCCCAGTGATCATGCCTCCCCCCAACAGGTCCCCAGTGCACACAATGAAGTGAGGGGCAAACAGAAGATGGGGGAGGCGGTAGGGTCTGGGTTTACCTCTAGATAAGGGCTCTAGCTCTCAGCATTTAATACTGACAGCAACAACGAAGGGTATACCCAAGACTCATCCTAAGATTTACACAGGGGGCCAGGGATTTAGCTCATCGGTCTAAGTGCCTGCCTGGCAAACTCGAGGTCATGTGTGGGATCCTCAGCACCAAAAATACATAAAGAAGTAACTTCACATTGGTGATATCTGGCTCATGTCCTAAAACAAAACAAAAACTTGTAAGATTTGCATAGATAAATTTATTTAATCTTCATGACAATACTAGGAGATAATCTCTCCCATTTAACAGATGAGAAAAGTGAGGCACACTGTGGTTAATACCTTGCCAGAGATCACAGAGCTAGTGAGAGGCACAGCAAGGATGCAGGCCAAGCTGTCTCCCTGAAAAATGTACCTGTATCACAGTGCACTCAGCTTCTCAAACCCAGACACAGTCAGAGGGAGTTGGGGGGCCATGCTCAGTGTCAAGCCTCCAAGCCAGGCCCTGACCAAACACCTGCATGCTTCAATCTCAGAAGAGCCACCAAAGGAAGAGCTGGAGGCTCGGTCCACAAGGGGCAATAAGACCGGAGAGATTGAGTGTCTGCCTCGCCACACAGCCCAGAAAGGGTGGACCTGAAGTTTAAACCTCGCCAGAGCTCTGCCCACTTGGTATTTCTACCCTAAACACATACAGGAAGCAAAAGAGAATGGTGCCCAGGAGAGGGATAGAGAGAAGGAGGCAGGCAGTGAAGTGCTGGAGAGGCTCTGGAGGTCCTCTTTGGGTCTGGCAGCTGCCCTGGGTTCCAAGTCCACAAGAACCTTAGTACCTCCCTCCAGGGTTGGCTGGCAGTGGAGCAGGACCAGAGGGGCAGGGGACCCAAAGCAGCTGGCTCCCTAGAGATCTGCCACCTGGGGGCTCCCCAGCTCCACTGCCACAGCCTCAGCCTGCGATGCTGGGGACAGCAGCAAGGTCTCTTGGGGTCCCCAGTCAGTACACTTGCAAGTGAGCCTTGGGGGCCTGCACAGGATGAGAGGGAACAGCCAACCCTAACTGCTGTCCAGAAGCCCCTGCTCATCTGCAGGCTTAGGCAAACAGGGGAGAGGCCTTGTCAGGTAAAATTCAGGGCACATGGGTGATAACCCTTATTCACCCCATGAGTGAGGGGTGAAGCTCTAGGGACCTTTAAGAGCTTCAGAGCAAACAGAGAGCACAAGCTAGGATGGCAAGGCTGCCCCGAGGGTTTGGTGAAGCCAGGCACAGCCTCCCACCAGCCTGCAGCGCCTGCGCTCCCTTCTGACCCAGCCCTGTCAGCCTGGAGAAAGTGCACGGTGACATGGGTGCATGGGGAGGCACAGGTGCATGGTGCACCGAGGCTTCACTGGAGTGGGCGCCGCCGGTACAGTACTGCCAGAAGCACAGCCAGGAGTATCCCTGCTCCAAGCCAGGACACTGACCAGCTGGTGCTGATCTGCTCCACCTCTTCCTGGGGTTGCAAGACAGTGTGCGGCCCAGAGTTGCCAGCCATGACGCTGACGCTGGGGTCCTCAGCCACATGGATCCTAAAGGATGTGTACTCGTTCTCCTCTGGGCCATGGTTGGGTTCCAAAGCCAGGGAACTACTGGAGCTGATGGCAAGGTCTGCAGAACAGATGGAGCACTGGTTGTCCTGGGATTCCAGTTCGCCAGGCTTGCTCATTTCCAGTGGACCCTGTAGGCTTGCGGAGCTGCTGTTTGGCCAGGGTGAGCCACCTCCAACAGTGGCCATGAGCGCTGGAGCCTCTGGGGTCTCCTGAGAGATAAAAGAGAGGACTGCAAGGGGCTGCAGAAGGCAGGGAGACAAGCCAGGCTGGGTTGGCCCCATCCTAGGTCAGGACAAGAAGCAGCAGTTTGACTTCTCAGATCCTACCCCATAATGCCCAAGACTATCCCCTTGGGGATTCAACCCACTGTGACGACTCTGGAAGAGGGGCCTACCACCAACAGCCCTTTCCCCCTCACTGGCCTGGTGTGGACCCATCATGTAGGGACATTTGGCCTGGGCCTGAGAGCCATGGAAGAGCCACAGGCATCCCAGGACCTGTGGACTTGGTTCCTCCAGGCAGACACCAATGGTCTGTGACGTTGGAAGGGGCAGCTGTGGGGGCTCCAGGTTGACTGGCCTGGGACTGCTGCCTACAGAGCCTGGACATGGAGGGGCAGGCCAGACATCCTGGTGGTGAAAAACAAGGCATCAAGCAAACAATCCTCACTGCTTCCCCATCCAAAGCAGAGGTGCTAAGCTTTAATGGGGGCTGCAGGTTCCAAAGCGTTAACGCAGATGGCCACGGAGGTGGTTCTATGCCTCGCCCTCCTGAGAGTCCACACTGAGGATCACCCATGACAGCTGTTCCTCCCAGAGGGCATGATATGGGGTCTGGATGGGCCTGGATCTCAGATATCCCTGAAGAGGCCATGGATTTGCCAAGGCAGGGAACGGGTTGAAAACTGAAAAGGTTTTAAGGGTTGTACACAAAAGGCAAACTCTCCAGAGGAAAGAGACATGAGTCACTGCTAGGAAAGGCAAGGACTCACCTTGTTTCTGCTGCTGTTCCTCATGGATGGTGCAGTGTTGGCCAGTGGCTTGGTGGACACCAAGGTGGCGGGCACTTTGGATGGCACTACGCCAGCACGTGTTACATTGACTGGCAGTTTGGATGGTGCTGGACTGGTAAGCATATTAGCACCAGGGAGCTTTGTGCTGGTGGGCCCCTTGGAAGGCACAGTGCTGACAGGTGCTGGGCTGGCAGGCACTTTGGAGGTCACAGTGCTCTCGGGCTTCAGGATAGGGGGAGAAGGCACTGAGCTGGTAGTTACAGAATTGGCGGGTACCTCGGAGGGTACCTTGCTGGGGCAGATGGAGGCCATGGCCTGGTTACCAGCACCGCCTGCAGAAGGCAAACTGGTGGAAGAGGGGGAGGAGGAGAAGGTGGGACCGACAGAGGTGGCTGAAACTGCAGGTCCAGGCAAGCGGCTAGCCCTGGGCGTGGAGCGGGCCAGGGGCTGGAAGGAGACAGTTGGAGACACTGGCCCTCGGGGTGACGTGGAGCTGGAGAGTGGGCCTGCAGGTGTGAAAGACAAAAATACAGCTCCAAAGGACTATTGCTCTCAGAGCCAGAGAAGGGTCCCATTGCCCCAGGTTACCCCGCCCCTACTGTAGCCAAACCTTCCAAGTTTTCTGCCCACAGAGGAAACTAGTCTGTGCTGCAGCCCTGAAGATTCCATTCTCTGTCCTTGGCCTGTAGCCTCAAGTCTGTCCTGTCACAAGAGTGAAAAAACGCCCTGCCTCTAACTACAGCTTGGTCTTTATTATATACTCTGCCTCCTCTTTCCTCTCCTCCCTGGGACACACCATCAGCTCCTATTTCTGCCTTTTCCACTTTTCCTTTAGCCTGGTAGAATCCTGCATGTACCCCTCACAGCAGTCCGCCTGCCTCCTGGAGCAGGAGCAATCCTGGATCAGAGCAAGGGACAACAAGGTGACTTAAGCATAGCCACTCACACCGATCAAGTGGCACCCAAGGCTGGCCAGCCCCAGCGGGTAAGGGCAGAGCCATCCCTGGGAGGAAGTCTGACCTGGGAAAGCATAGAGTGGCAGGTGGTGACAGTATGAAAAGGTGGTGGTATCAGGATTCTTCATGCAATGTATGTACACGCAAGGTTCCAAGGCTGACAAAGGTCAAGAGAGAGGTCTGATTCCCTCCCCTAAATCTCTTTTTTTTTTTTTTTTTTTTTTTTTTATTTAAAGAAAAGGAAACGAAAAAAAAAAAATATAAAAAAAAATACATGGAGATTAAAGAATAAAAGGGTAGAAAAATAATACTAAATTACAGACAAACAAAAGGTAATAAATTGCCAGTTGATAAGTTACAAATTGTCTTCTTCGAAATGGCTGTTTAGGTTATAGAATTAAAGTATTTAGAATGACATTCAAAAAAGTGACCCTACAAACCATTCTGCTCTATGGCCGAACAAAAGCTCCGTAATATGATTATCAGTCCCACCTATTTGTTTTACATCTCTAAGAGGATAAGGTTAACCATATCAAAACAGAACAGAACATTTAAAAAAAAAATAAAAAACTATTTAAAGAAATACAGATTTCAAAGCAAGTCCACTGGAGATCTACCTTATCTAACTGTCTCTAGCTTCTTACAGATAGTTGTCCCTAACTTCACCCACTTTCTATACTTATTGCATATTATAGAACTAATCAAATCATTACAGGATGATGGAGTCTTTTTAGGTCCTCAAGTTCCAAATTAGGGAAGACATTTCCAACTACCATCGCATCTCTCATTCTCTTTGTGATAGCCGTCCCCATCTCTGCATATGCTGAAGTTGAGCTGAAGAAACCAGTCCAGAGTCATTTTAATCAGCAAGCAATAGGTTGCTAGAATTTATATTATAATGCTACAAAATAAGCCTCGGGTTTTTCAGGTCTCTTCCTCAGAGTATTTGTTCCTATCCTCTCTGTATTATAGGGAAAACCAATTCATAACAAGACAGCGAAACAATTTCCTAGATAAACATGCAATGGATAAGACTTACAAAACTATAATATAAATGATCTTCCGTAGCTACTATGTTTTCTCTTGTTATTTTCAATAGATTTGTCAACAACACTGGCTTATTATAGTTAAATATACTATCACCTATTTTTATAAAAACTTATCTTTGACTGCATTGTAGTATTTGAGAACTGTTACTGATTCATACCAGTATGGATATCCTTTACATCCTGTCATGCTCAGAGTAGTTTCCTCTACTTTTAGGGTTGATTCTAACACGCATACGGATTTCAAATAGGATCAGTCAAGGCCAACCAATAGTCTTATGATTCAGATACAATTAAGATCAGTCATAGTAAGACAATGTAAGTAATACAGGGTTTCAGCTTAAGTCAATAGGAAAGTAAGGATGGTTACCATGGTATAACCTGCTATTTTTGGTTCTAGAGGTCTGTGTCTTCAAATCTGATATGAGTAGACAGACCAGAACAAATTTAATTCAATCTAAATATGGCACTAGGACTACTGTGTCTTTTAAATCGTTATACACCATTAGCAATGACCTCTGCTTTTTTTTTTTTTTTTTTTTTTAAATATAGTTTCAGAGCTGTCTCTACCAAAGACTAGCTTACCGTCTCTGCCTCATGTCTGCTACTCCACTTTTCTGCTATAATTTGTCCACCTTATTCCCTCATTCCATGGTCTGCCCCGTACACTGAGGCCTCTCTGCCACTGTAGCTGTAATCCTGATATTTCTTCCTCTCTTTCTCTGTAATGTCCTTCAGCGCTCTCTGTAGGGTTGGATTGGTGGCCACGAACTCCCACAGTTCCTCCTTGTCTTGAAAGTATCTTATTTCTTCATTAATTTTTAGAGAGAGTTTTGATGGATATATGAGCTTAGGTTGCATATTTTTTTCCTTCAGGACTTGGAATATTTCTCCCCACTCCCTTCTTGACTTAAGAGTTTGTGTTGATAAGTCTGCCGTTATTTTGATAGATTTCCCGTTATAGGTAACCTGCATCTTTTCTCTGGCTACTTTTAATATTCTGTTTTTTTGGTGGATTTCTGGGATCTCGATTATTATATGCCTAGGCGTAGATCTGTTTTGGTTGTAGGTAGCTGGCGTTCTGTATGCTTCTTTTATCTGGATATCATTTCTTTTTGCTATACATGGGAAATTTTGCTTTAATATCTCTGTGAATATTTTTTGTATTTCATTTTTGGATGTTCCTGCTTCCTCACTCACATTCTTTATTCTTAGGTTATGCATCTTTTTATCATCTTCCAGTTTTAGAATTGCTTCTTTCTGGTTCCTTGTTATTTTTAAGAGGCTTTTTCTTTCACGTTCATAAGCCCTAAATCTCTCTTCAAGTTTCAGAAGGTTGTCTTTAGTTTCTGTCAAGGCATTTTGCCAATATTCAATGGAGTTTTTAATTTCCTGATTTTCTCTTTGGATCTGTTTCATGTATTCTAAGTTATGCTTAAATTCTTCAGATGCTTCTCTTTCTTTTCTGATTTCCTCAGTTCTTCCATCTGTGTTCTCTTGGGCAGGGCTTGTCATTTCTTTAATTAATCTCTTTATATCTTGCCTCACTTGGATCAGGAGTACATCTTTAAATTCCTCTATGAGATCATGTAAATACTTTTTAATTTCGGCTGATGCTGAGTCGAGCAATGGATGGTTACTGTGCTTGTTCTCTTCAGTGTTTAGTTCTCTTGGGTTTAATTTCTCCTGTTGAACAGCTGGAGATTTTTTTTTTTATTTTTATCTCTTGTCATGTTTCTGGTTTCTTTCAGACTGTCCTGGAGTTCTCTGGCCCTCTCCGAATTGCTTAGGGCCTTTCAGAAGCGTGCCGGCTTGAGTTTTTGCTGTCCTCCCCAATTTGCTGTTATCTGGGGTAGGCTGGGATGCAGGGGCGGTACAGTCTAGTCTCTAGCCTCTGTGTCAGTTAGTTCATAAATTAGGCTGTACTTTCTGGTTGTCACTGAGTTGTGACCATTCTGCATCCGCCCATTGGGCCCCAAGCAGAGGCCTGATCTAGCCCCAACAGCTCCTGCCAGTTCTCCCTGAATCAGAAGCAGCTGGGTAATGGCACAGGATTCTGCCCAGGTCCCAGCCGTTCTCTTCCAAACCTCTCTGTGATAGGAGCTCTAGAAAAGCAGATCTGCCCAAAACCAAGATGGCTCCCACTAAGTTCTCCGTGCGGAGCTGAAGCCAGCAAGCAATCAGACTCTGCCAGGACTCAAGATGTCTCCCACCAGCCCTCCCTACAGGGGGTCCTGGTGATGTCACCAAGCTGCGATTTCTGCCGCCAGGCTAATATGTCTGCACCAGATTCTGTGTTATTGATTTCCCCGTGGTGGCGGGCCAGCTGTTCTCTGGCCAAACCCAGCCGCCGCGGGGTTTTCTATACTCACCAGAGTCCGGTGCAAGTCCCCGCTCCGGGACCGCCACACACCAAGCTGTCCACTTTTCCCCACCTCGCGGCTCAGCGCTGACTGGTCAGATTTCTGTGCACCGTTTAGATTCGAAACGCCAGAGCTCTGTACATCTGCTCTGGTGCAGCGGTGCAGAACTGGCTGCTGCCTGGAGTCTCGATCTGGGTCTCAGTTTCCGCAGTCCCCAAAAGCAACTCAGCTTTTCGTGTTGGGTCCACGAGTCTGTTCGTTGATTTAAGGGCGCGGGATTTGCAGCCTCCGGTCTCAGCACGACTTTAAATCCTCCAGCTGTACTGTCTTGGTTGATAAGAATCGCTATGGATTTGTCTGGTCCTCTCCATGCTGTCTTTTTTTTTTAGCTTTGAGTTTGAATTCTCTGGAGAGATTCTTCGCTCGATCCCCTAGCACGCCGCCATTTTCTCTCTCCCCTCCCCTAAATCTCACACCTCAGCATCTCATGGGACCTGCACCCAGAACCTCAGCTTCTCCTGGCCTTTAACAGGCTAGCGCCAGTGTCAGGTGAAATACCAGCACAGCCAATGCCAACCTGGCAGGTCCGCGTGGGCAACTATGAATCCCTAAGGGAGCACCGAGGTGGAGGGGAGGAGCCAGGCCGCTGGCTGATAAAGGCCACACTTCCTCTGGATGATGAGGCATTTCAGTGATCTGCTGGGAACTAGAGACCTCGCTGGGGCAGGGTAAGGCTCCCCTGCCAACAGCTGGCCCTGCTCTGTACTATCCTTCCCTGTCCCCAGGCCCTTGCTGATCCCTACAGGGTCCCTTTGGTAGAGTGCACAAACAGCCCTAATTCTCTTCCCCACCCACACAGCAGTGTACGGAAACATGCATCATGGTGTGACTTTACAGGTCCTCCTGTCTAAGGATGAAGTTGGCTTCCCTACTCCTTAAATCTAAACTGGCTTTGTTTATTTGTTTTGTTTTTTGACTCAAGGTCTTGCTATGTAGTTCAAGCTGGCCTGGAACTCACTATGTAATCCAAACTAGCCTCAAACTTACGGCAATTTTCCTGCCTTAGCCTTCAAGTGCTGGGATGTGAGCATGTGTCACCACACCTAGCCAGTCTGGCCTTATAATTTGCTTTGGCCTACCAAACAGTGCAGGAGGGACACTGCCAGTTTTGAGTCAGTGCCCCCTTCACACACACACATGCACACACACACACTCTGAGCTCTGCCCAGCTGCCTTGACATACACTAAAGAATGAGAGACTGGACTGGTGGCACACGTGTGTAATCCCAGGAGGCTGAGGCAAGAGCATTGCATATCCAAGCCCAGCCTGGGAAATTTAGGAAATTCTGCCTCAAAATAAAATTTTATAAAAGAGTAGGATGCTCAGTGCTCCCTGGGTTCAATCGGCACCATAAAAACAAAGACAAGGAAGGAAGGAAGGAAGGAAGGAAGGGAAAGGAGAGGAGAGGAAAGAAGAGGAGATGGAGGAAGGGAAGAGAAGAGAGGAGAGGGGGACAGATGGGAAGGGAAGAGAGGGGAGGAGCCTATATAGACGTGAACAACAGTGCCCTAGTCAATGGGCAAAAGCAGAGCATAGGTAAACACTGGAGAGTACATGTGAGGGAACTCAGCTGAATCATAAATGCCCAGGGGCTGCGGATTTAGCTTAGCAGCATAAGTGCCTGCCTGGCAAGCACAAGGTCGTGAGTTCCATCCCCAGTATTAAAAAAAAAAATCAGAAGTGCCCAGCTGGATCAGCCATGTGCTACTTAATGGTTATATTTTAAACTGTTAAAAAATATTTTTAGGGCTAGGGATATAGCTTAGCACATCACCTGCCTGGCAAGCCTGAGGTCCTGAGTTCAATTACCAGTACCAAAAATACTGGGAATTGTGGGGTGTTTGTTATATAGCAAAGGCTAACTACTAGTATATCCATAAGCGATAGGCTGCTCCCTGAAGTAATACCATTTATTCCCCACCACCACCCGCCTCCTGCCCAAGGAGCCCATAGAAAAACTCTGACCTTAGTGCTCACCTGGGAGGCCCTATATGCCATGCTGCATGCATACCTGCCCCATGGGTGCTGCCCAGTTCTGGGTCCTGCTCCTGATGCCCGCTGGAAGTCAGAGGGCTGAGGGCTGGTAGGCTAGAGGAGGGCTCCAAGGCTCCACTCGGCCTCTTCGGAATGGTCCCCAAACTGGGTGTCCGTGGAGCCTGCTCTGAACTCTGCAAGAGGGAAAGTGTGAAGGAGACAGCTGCACCCCACAAACTGGCAAAGATGTTCACAGCTGATGTTCACAGGGCATCTCCTTCAGGCCACACATACCCTTAAGCCCAAGAACCGAGAGAGCCTGCCTTCTGGTCATTGCCCCACCTTCTGTCCACAAAAAACATGGCCAGGTTGCTGGTAGTTGGGGTGTAGTTCAGTGGTAGAGCGCTTGCCTAGTGTACAGGAGGCCCTGGGTTCCATCCCCAGCCCTCAAAAATACAAACCACTCTCTCTGTGGCCACTGTACAGAGCCCAGACCCCATGGTTTCCAGTCCATAGCTCAGGGCTTTCTGGACACCCCATGGCCCACTCATAACATCTCAGCAGAGACAGTCATTTTTACTCACCCCCACCATCTACCCATGGCCCCCACTCCCTCCCCAGGTTCCTCTACCAGCTCAGTGCCTCACATGACAACTGACAAGACTGCGATCACACGACCTTCCAGCTGATGATGGCAGAGTCTGGAAGCCTGTGGGACCCATCCCCATTGAGGGAGTGCTAGGGTTCTTTGCAGGGATTTGGCATGGCTTATAGAAGCAGACAGAGCTTCTGGAAGGTTGGTGGACAGAAGCTGGCATACAGGAACATAAAAGCAGGGGGGCCCGAGTTACTGTGAGAACATACCTCTCTGGGGGACATTGGCGGCTGGGTGTCCTGGACAGGCCGGGGGTAACTTGGCTCCTCTCGGTAGCCATTGTGGGGAGCGCTGTGGGTTGTACCAGACACATGGGCTGCTGGAACCTCAGCCGGAACTTCTGGCACCTCCACTGGGCCTGGGGTCTGGGGTGGAGCTCCTAGAGCACAGAACACAGTGATGTCCTAGTGACAGAAAAGGCCTGGACTCTCCGGAGGCCCAAGTCCCCACTATAGCTCCAAAACTGACCTGATGTGGGATCCACCCATGGCAAGCACCCATGGAGAAGGGACGGGAGTGGGACGGACACAAGCCACAGAGGACAAGAGAGGTGGCAAAGCAGGGAAGGCAGGAGGTGGGGCTCACAGTCTTCTTAGCACAGGGGCCTCCTCATGGCTGTCGACCTTCACTGGCCCCTGTCACCACCTACCCCTGGCCTTACCATAGCCATCTGCATTGAGGAGGACACTGTTACTCTCCACAAATGTAAGGACCAGTTAAGAAAAAAAGGAGCAGGAAAAATAGAAAAAAGCAAACACAGGGTGTTGCCAAGCTGCAGGTCTGACCATAGCCCCAGGGGCTGCCTCGAATCTGAACTATAAATAGGGCTGGCTTGATCTCTCTTCCCACGTCCCTTCCTTAGACCCCATCCTATCAAATCCCCTTGGGCACTGGGACTGGTGGGGGCACTGAATGGAGGAGTAAGGAATAACCGGGCACCATGGGAAAAGGGGGAGACCAGAATGTCTCAGGAAAACAAAAGAAAAGAAGACAGATGGAGAGAGGAAGGGTGAAGAATGGGTGGGGGAGAAGGGATGGGAGTGGAAACAAGGAGAAATGGGTGGCAAGAAGCGCAGATAAGAGGAAATTCCACGTGCTCACTGGCTGGTGCCACCCACGGTGTCTTTCCACCGCAGCCACCAGGGACAGACACTGCTGTTAGCCCTGGTTGACACTGGGGCTCTGGAAATCTAAGTGACTTGGCCAAAGTCTTGCACTCCTGTGTGTCCATTACTGAGAGCAATGGGAGATAGGATGACGTGAAGGACAGGAGGAGAAGGAGAGAGGAGAGCTAGAAGCCGACAGGAGTCCTGGAGAGGGCAGGGCAGGCGGCTCACCAGCAGGCTGGGCGTTCTGGTAGACCCGAGTCACTTGATCGGCGAGCTCAAGCAGCTCACAGCACTTCAGCGCCTCGATGAAGGCCTCCACCCAGCCCGTCCGCCGCCGGAGGGTATTGAATAAGTCCCACAGTGTGTCCCTATTCCCTAGGCGTGTGTAGGTGGCTCGCAGTCGATCCTGGAAGACAGCACAGCCACCCTGCTCAAGCCAGGTAGTGTCAACTCCAGCCCCTTCCCCACCCTCGACGGGGCCACTGCAGGGGGTGGGGCACCAAGAAAGCTGCAAGAGGCAGCTACTTGAAGCCACAGACAGGACCAAGACAAGGCCAGGGTTAGCAACCAGGCACAGAGTGATGAAGAGCAATCAGCAACCACCAAAACGACTACCAAGAAATAGCTGTACCTGTGTCCTGGGCTATTTGTTACAACTTCTCCTCATTTAATGTTGTGGTATAACTATTTTTCTGATGAGGAAACTGAGGCTTAGCAGAAGCAAAGTACCAAAGACCCTGTTGCAGTGGGGCAGGAACTCCAACCCAGTTAAACTAAGAAAAACCCTGGGGTTATTTATTTATTTTGTCTCTGAAACAGGGGCTGACTATGCACTTCAGGTTGGCCTTGAACTCACTTTGTAGCTCAGGCTGGCCTCAAATTCACAGAGATCCTCGTGGCTCAGCTTGCCAAGGGAGTGCACACCTTGCCTAGCTGAAGCCTTGAGTTAAGACAGCCTCGAAAGCACAGAGAAAGGTTTGGATGAGCAGAGAAGGAATGTTGTGTAATGACCAGCACAGCAAAGGGGGCAAAGAAGAAAAGAGAGGCAGCCAAGAAGGAGAAACAAGGAGGACAAGAGCACCGGGGAGAGTCCGGAAGATGGCAGCAGCTGTGGTTTTTATAGTGACCTGAATTCTCGCATGAACACACACAGCTGATGCTGGGGGTGTGGCTCAGTGGTAGAGTGTCTGTCCCGTGTGTGTGAGGCCCTGGGCTGGATCCCAGCACACCACACACACACACACACATATGTACACATGCACGTAAAGACAGCCAAACAGCAGGAATGAAAAGCCACAGACAATGTTTACTACAAACCACATGGCAAGGTATCCCCACAGCCCCCCAAACCATGTAGGCACCAGACCACCACGATACCAGCATCTATATGTGGGAACACACACTGGAAACAAAGCACTCCAGAGACACCCGAAAACTGGGCTCTTTTGGGTCCCTCAAGGGGCCCAGAGGTACCTACCACTGGCACACAGGTGTCCCATGGGCTGAGAGCTGCTGAAACTGGGAGGGGCTTTGCCACTTGGTGTGCCCAAGAGGCTGGCAGTGCATTCTGGCGCCTACGAGTTGTCAAGGTTGAGTCCCAGAGCTCCCTGCCAGGAGAGGGTCCCCTTACAAATGGAATCAAAACTGAGCAGGATCAGAGAGATAAGGGAAAATAGAAGCTTCCTGGAACTAAGCAGTAAGTAAATGAATCAAGAGCTGGGAATTCACAGGACTCCAGAGTGCCACGTTTGTCAGCACTATACAAAAACAACACAAGAGGGAGTCGGTGAGGCTAGAAAAAATACCCAGAACCATGCTTGACCTAAAAGATACAAAAGCAGCAAGGACAAGAAGACAAGAGGAAGGAGAGGAAGGAGCTGGCCCTGGCTTGCTTAAACAACTAGTTGGAGCTGAGGTTAGAATTCCACAACCTTAAACCCAGACCAGTGACAGCTGTTACTTTCCTCGCTCACCTGGTCATTAGGTGTCAGGCAGGGCAGGTAGGGAAGAATCTCCAGAACATCAACAGGCCAAAAATCACTGTGATGGTGACGGATAAACTTGTAAGTCTTCTCCTCTGCGGAGGTCATGGCTGCTCGGTTTCGGAACAGAGGGCTCTAGCTCTGTGTAGGGCGATGGCCTGAGAGAGAGGTGGAAAGACTGGAAGAAAAGAGATCACACAGGGCCACAGTGTCAGGAGTAGCATTGAATGAAGGGCAATATTTTCTCAAATTTTTAGAATTTTTGCTTTTTTTCTTTAATCTTTAATTTCTTTAAACATCCTATGCTGTCTGATCCCAGAAGCCTTCAAAAAATTGGTTTAAAAATGAACTGATGAGGCCGGGGAATTAGCTCAGTGGCATAAGCGCCTGCTTTGCAAGTGGCGCGGTCGTGAGTTCAATCCCTGGTACCAAAAAAACAAAACAAAACAAAAAAAAAAACCAAACTGATGACCAGAAAGCACCAAATGTAGAAGATCTAGGGTCCACTTCTCTGTGCAGGTTGCTAGGGTTGTGAAGGTCTGTGTATGCCCCTCAGACCTGTGGGGTAAGCCTGGGCCTCCAGCTGCTGTGCCCAAGACAGCACAGTTCCCCTCCCTGCCCAAGGCAGGCAGGAAGTCAAGATGTCAATCCGGCTGCCTAGAGATGCTGGCTCTCTTGGGGTACACTGAAAGGAAAATGGCTTGGGATCATCCTGATCTGAAGATGAAGGTGAGGTACCAAGAAATGAAGAGGCTTGCTAGCTACTGGAAGAGCAAAGAACTGAAGTCTCTGGGGTTTTTTTGTCTTTTTTCTTTTTATCGGTAGCAGGGATTGAACTCATGACTGCCTGCTTGCAAGGCAGGCAGTTTATGCCGCCAAGCTAAATCTCCAGCCCCGAACTGTAGGGCCACCAGCAAGCCTGTTAAGTGTATATTCTTATGCTAAGAGAACTAATAGGCTTACCCAGGGATGGTCTTTTCCAGGCTTTTCTTAAAATGGCTTGTTTTGACAATACAGTAGTTCAGACATAAAAACTTGATAATCAAGTCCTTCAAATACAAGCATTGTTTACAAAGCACTTAGTACATTTTGCAATTATGTTGCTGTTTGCTTGTTTCTCATCCCCCCCCCCCCCACAATGAGACAGAGAGCAAGACAGAAAGGTCTATCCTATTGTGCAATGTATAGTCTGTGGGATGCGACAGAGCAGTAAACATAGACCTAAAGAAGAATTTCAGGAAGGAATACAGGTTATAACAAAAATAGAGCTATAACAAAAGATTTAGCTCAGCGGCATAAGCACCTGCCTTGCAAGCAGGCGGTCGTGAGTTCGATCCCCGGTACCGATAAAAAGGAAAAAGACAAAAAAAAAAATTAAAAAAAAAAAAGTGGAGGGGATCTGAGACCTAACGATCTCCCCAGCAGCTGTGAGGACTATGGAGGAGCAGGGGTGAGAGCAGGGAGATGGAGACCTGAGGAGTATGGTCAGTTGACCATGGACAATGCACTGTGATTCTGTGGAGGTTTATGGAGATCTTGTCCTTCACTTAGGAAGGAAGCAGGAGAGTCAGGTGAGGTTGTCTGCTGCAGCCCACCCTCAGCCCTCAAGGCACAGTGGGAATGACAGGTCATGTGGCCCCACCAAAAAGAAAGGAAGCCCACATCTGTTCACTTTTATTGATGGCTCCTCTAAGATTATTTCACTTAATCCTTGGGACAGCTCCAAAAGAGAGGGAGTAATACTAAGTTACACACCTGGTCCGGATCCATGCAGGACCCAAGATTTGTTGCCTCCTGAAAGATGGGCATACACCTCATAAGGCATAAAGGGCCCTTCAGCAAGTGAGAGCTACATAGTCCCCTGCCTTTAAGTCCTGGGAGGGTCCAGGTCACCGTGGGAGTGGGGATTGTCGCTGAGGGTGCACCCAGGAGGATGCAAAATTTATTCTCTTCTCTTGTCAGTAATGCAGATCATCTCGGGCAGTGCTGACAGCATTACCCCGTGTCCACTAACGTTAGTCTCAGTTCCCTGGTCGCTTGACTGTCTTCCAAGATGTTTTAGTTTTATAGCATTCATACAAAGAACGTTGTTCTTGCTTTGTTTCATTTCCATCCGTTCCCTGGCACCTCTTTCCGATCTCACAAAAAGGGAAAGTTGCGATGCAGCCAAGTTTTCGACCTGACAGCTCAGAGAATCTCCGAGGACGTCGCGGAAAGAACACCTACCCACCCGAAGGACACGCCTCGAAGCCTCAGATCGGGTTCCTGGGTGGGCCCCGGGCAGGCTGTTCTGAGCAGTTGTCACCGCCGAGAATGGTCACTACCCGGGGTAGGAAGCGGCCCTGACTCCCACCGCGGCAGCCACAGGTCGGCGCACTCGCCTGAGGGTCACCCCAGGGCCGCAGACGACGCAAGCTCAGTCTGCCTCCTTCTGGCCCAACTTTTCCTCCGACCTCGAGCAGGCACCCAGGGCCACATTTCCCGTCCCTCTGAACGCTGGACGCGACGGTCAGAGCCCGCAGTGTCCCCAGCCTGGTTGTCCCTGAGTCCTGCGGGCCCTGTCACCTCCAGGCCCGCAGCGCGCCTCAAACCCCAAGCCCCCGGCAGGCTCCGAGTCCTCCTCGGCTCCGGCCGCTACAGCCCACCTCATCGAGGGCGTCGGTGCATGCAGAGCCCCGGAGACCGAGTGTCCGAGCATCGACCTTACCTAAGGCAGCCACGACCTGGTGACCAGAGGACAGCAGCAGCCTGCGTCGAACCCTCCCAGGGCTGAGGGGCGGGACGAGGCCTGGCCCGCGCAGTCATTGGCCGGATGGTGGGGCGGGACTTCGTAGGCGCGCGTGAATGGCTATGCGGGGGGCGGGTCCCCGGCGGTGGCGGGAGGGCCTGGAAGCCCCCGGATGGGCGGTGCTGCATGAGGGATACATTGTTTTCTGTCTTTTTCCTTTAGTGCTAGTGCCTGCGGAAGCTAGCGTCCAACCTGAAACCGGTAGACTTCCGGGCCAGGCACAAAGTGCTCAGTAGACGTCGGGCGACATGCGAAGGTCGCCGAGGCGTGAGTGCCTGGCAACTCATGCGCTGGGCCCCAGAGAGCAGGAGAGATCGGAGGACACCAAGATTTCCAGAGCTGGGTGTAGTGTGTGCGGTGTGGAAGAGGCCTTTTCCTCCTAAGGTCCTGGGGCCTCTGCAGTGATTGCCATCTGCCAAGTCCTCCTCTGCCCAAGCAGAGGACACTTCCTGGGGCATAGTTCAGTGCCGCTGAGCCACGGCCGCAGCCCTAGTCTTCCTGTTTTAAAGAGAGATTTAAGGGAGTTCTTACCAAAGTAAACACACCGTAACCCTAAGAACCAGTCAGCTTCACTGGTGGATATACATGTGCCCAGAAGCACACACACTAGATAAGGTGCGTGCTGATTTTATTGATAAAAGGCAAACTCCAGAAACAGTTCAGATGTCCATCAGCAGGATGCATGAAGAGACAAACTGGTGAACTTGCAAAAATGAATGATATGTAGCAATAAGAACAAACTTGATACACACAGCATACATCGTGGATGGCTCTCCACATGGGTGATTTGGCTTCCTGAAAGATTAATGGTGCTTAATGGTGTTCATCTAATGGACCCAAATATGAGAGACTACATGTCCAGTTCTGATTAAGTCTCGATAACAGGTAAAACTAACGTATACAAATAGAAATCTTAAGGGAGCAACACATCAGCTGTGGGTGGAAATGTTCTACAAATCGATGTGAGTCAGGGGTACATATCATAGGTAAAAATGCATCAATTGATATACATAGAGTTATTACACTTTATTGCAATTTTTAAAAAAGGAGAATATAAAAGATTGACCCAAGATCACATACAAGATCACAAACCTGATTCCAAAACCAGTGTTTCCAAACTCAATCACTGGGAGATGGAGTTTGGAACACTTGTGTGAGATTTTATTACTGTACTCAGTGGCCCTGTAGATATATCACAACCTTTGGCATTTACAAGGTGTGTTAAATCACATCCCAACATTAAGAAAGCCAGCTGTTCCTTGTTCATGGAAGACAGATGAATGTTGATTAGTTGAAGACTTAATCCTGCCTGCAACTTGCCTTGACTCCAGGGGCCTCATATCTTATTATTACAGGGAGATCATTATTGAGAATGTGGACGTCAGCTTCCAAATTGTCACCTCTGTCTTTGGTGGACCTTGAAGGGGACTAAAGCAATCCAGTTTCCTGACCAAGATGGCTCCCTGTCCCATCAACAACTTTTAAAAATCTAGACAAAGAGGGGCACAAATTCATTGCTTGTGTTTTTCTTATCTAAAACTCCTAACCTAAAGCTTGTCATGAGGAGACAAATAAGAGCCACTTGCCAACTCTTGTACAGTATAATAGCTACTAGCCACATATAGCTACTTTATTTTTATTTATTTATTTATTTTTGGTCTTTTTTGTTTTTATCAGTACCAGGGATCAAACTCACGACTGCCTGCTTGCAAGGCAGGTGCTTATGCCACTGAGCTAAATCCCCAGCCCCACTACTTTAATTGAAAATTAAATGAAATTTAAAAGCCAGTTCCTGTGCTCCATTAGCCACATTTCAAATGTTAAATTCAATATCTGGCTAATGGCTATTACATTGGAATTGGACAGCACTTCAATCATCTTAGAAAGTCATCTTCTGCTGGTCAGTGCTGCTTTACAGAATAACTCTTCAAAAATGTCCAGGTCAGGCTGGGGATTTAGCTCAGTGGCATAAGCACCTGCCTTGCAAGCAGGCGGTCATAAGTTCGATCCCTGGTACCGATAAAAAAAAAAAAATGTCCAGGTCATAAATGACTAGAAAAGACTGGAAGCCAGGCATGATGACCTCCACCTGTAGTCCCAGCACTCAGAGGCTGAGGCACAAATTCAAGGCCAGCTTGGGCTACATAGTGAGCCCAAGGCCAACCTGAATTGCAGAGCAATGCTCTATCTCAAAAAAGGAGTAACAGCAACAAAAAGACCGGAGGACTGTGGTAGAATCAAGCAAGCCAAAGTGTTACCACAACCAAATGAAATGTGAGATCCTGAAACAAAAAAGACATTAGTGGGACAAATGATGAAATTTAAGTAAGGCTTTTAGATTAGTTAATGATATCAGTGTTAGGGTTCTGTTTTAGTTGTACCACAGTTATGTAAGACACATATGTATTATTTTTGCAGTTGTGTCGTAAGTATGAAATTATTTCAAAATTCTAAAATAAAATAAATCTTTGTGAGGTTGTATTTCCAGCACTAGGGCTAGAACCCAGACTCATTCATGCTGGACAGGCACTCTACCACCTGAGTGACACTCAATCTTTAATTTTTTTTTTTTTTTTGTCTTTTTCTTATACCAGGGATTGAACTCACGGCTGCCTGCTTGCAAAGCAGGTGCTTATGCCACTGAGCTAAATCCCCAGCCCCAACACTCAATCTTTTGACTCTCTCTTTTACCGTTTATTGAATCCTGCCCTACTTCATGGGTGCAATTCACAATTCATTGATCATTGTGCATTTATTAGTGGAAGTGAAGCCTTGGGGCTCCCCTCCCAAGTTAAAGCTCATGCTAGGCATGCATGCCCAGCTCACACAGGATGACTCAGCAGCCACCAGCTCACGTTTCCCCCAGAGGGCAGAAGTCAGAGCCAAAGATAGAGCCAGAGGGCCCCAAAAAGAGTCATGTTCTCACAGCTGAGTCCTTTGGGGCATTGTCCCCAACTGAAAAAAAGCACACCATTATGACTGCATTTTAAATAATTGTTTTAGAATTATTTTTTTATTTTTGTTAGTACTATTTGTAGCACATAATGATTGCCTTCATCCTGGAGAGTTGGTACATGTATATAACACATTGGATTTTTCACAATTAAATGGTTATTCTTAAACTATTTTTATTGTCAATTTATTTCCTGTATATGTTATGTGCATGTGTATATATTTATATTTTTATACAGCATGTGTGAAAAAAACCAGTCTGTACTAACAATGCTACTACCGTCCTGGGGTGACTGGAGATGGCTCTCTGGTGCCCTTTGTTCTAGTGTTTTCTTTTTCCACAGTACACAGATTCAGTCTTTTCCTTGACCAGCAGTGGGCCATAACAGATCTGCGGGCTCAGGAGCTGGCTTTACTCACCTCAGCTCACAGCTCTTCCTCTCTGGTGTTTAGGGCCAGCATGGACTCCTCCTCTTCTGGCTTTGAGACAGTATATTGCTGGTGGCCTTCCACTCAGAGGCTGCCACTTTGCCCTTTCTTCTTGAGAACCACTGATAGGCTGCTTGGCAACAGATGGTCACCAGGGATTTGCAGGGACAGCAAGGAAATGGACCCCTCATTGGGTTATGTCTTCAAATCAGATGTCAAGAGTTGCTAAAAGTCACAGTGCAGGGGACTTCTAGCAGGCCACAGCCTTCCAGGGTCAAAGCTTCTGGCCCCCCGGAAGTATCTGCTTGATCTGAGTCTCTCCTGCTGTCTCCATCTAGAGCCCCTCCCTCCATGTCAGAGATTCAGTGCTAAAACAAATCACTCCTGGAATTTTATGCTTGAAAAGATTTGATTTCTGGAAGCATGGCATACCTTCCGGGAAGTAGCATCTTTTTTTTTTTTTTTTTTTTTTTTGTCTTTTTGAGACAGGGTCTCTATGCAGTTCAGGCTGGCCTTAAACTCACTTTGTAGCCCAGGCTGGTCTTGAACTTGCAACGATCCTCCTGCCTCAGCCTCCCGAGTGCTGGGATTACAGGCGTGAGGCACCACACCTGGCTGGAAGTAGCATCTTAACTATAGAACTTAACTTTTATCCAACTAAATACCTGATTAGCTAGCACCCAGATAAAAATGGAGAGTATTTCCATTTCCTCAGAAAGTTCCCTCTAGTCCTGTATGCACCTTTACTGCTCTCTGATTCTATCATAATTTAGCTTTTTCCTGTTACTAATTTGGTACACAGAAAGGAAAGAGTATATATGGGTTTGTGTCTGACACTTTCCAGTCAATGTAATTTTTATATCCATCTACATTGCTGCATGTGTCAGAGATGAGTTCTCTTTCCGATGGGTATGATAACACCCACTTGTAATCCTAGCACACTGGGAAGTTGAGGCAGAAGATAAAAAGTTTGAGCCAAGCCAGGCACACACCTGTAATCTCAGCACTTGGGAGGCTGAGGCAGGAGGATGGCTGTGAGTTTGAGATCAGCCTAGAATATATAGTGAGTTCAAGGTCAGCCTGGATTACATAGCAAGACCCTGTCTCAAAAGAAAAGAAAAGAACCCCAAAAATCTGAGTCTCGCTTAGGTGATATAGCAATTATCAAGACCCTGCCTCAAAATATAAATAAAATACAAAGAAGTACTGGGGAAACAATCCCTAGAATCAAAAAATTTTTTCCTTCATTGCTGAGTAGTATTCCAATATATAAATATGCCACAATTTGCTCATTTATTTCATTTTATTTATTTATTTTGACTTTTTGAGGCAGGGTCTCATATGTAGTACAGGCTAGTCTTGAACTCACTATATAGCCCAGGCTGGCCTCGAACTTACAGACATCCTCCTGCCTCATCCTCCTGAATGCTGGGGTTACACGCATGTATCACCATACCTGGCTCACTCTATTTTTTTTTTTTTGTCTTTTTCACTTTTATCAATACTGGGGATTGAACT